CTGAAATATATTTTTTGCGTGCCGCAAGTACAATACCAGTGGCAATAGTCGCCGCAATAAGTACAATACCAATTGGGCTGCGGAGAGGTAAATACGTCAAGAGATCTTTTCGTACTGATTTTATTGAGCATAACTTGGGGTTTATATACACGTTCTTGGATCAAAAGGGGTGTTAACATAGGTCTATTCTAGACTTCAATTTTCAGTTACATGGTTTATCCTAATCAAACAATAAAATTTAGATAACGATATCGCAGGTAAAATAGTCTCAAATATTCTGCATGCAGATGGTGTGAAAACGTGACCGATCGTGGGTTATCTTTTTTGACGGGTCAGAATTGACACACATGTGGACGCAGGCATACGTGGTCCTGTATTAATTTAGGTAGGCCGATATCACAAATGACCCTTGTCTATTTAACCCATAAATATCAATCCAGCTGCGAACAATTTTCTTCTTGGCGAAAATCGTACAGTTTGGTTGTTCGCATGAGAGCTTTATTTTATAGTCTCCGAATTAAAAAAAATATAAAAAACTGCAAAGTTAGATTTTTTTTATTTATTTTTCTAATTGTTTCTATGGGCGCTAAATGATTTAGTCGAATTTTATGCTACATGCAATAGGAAGACAACTTTTGGGAAAGTTTAATACAGACGGACAGTCGGACAGACGGACATGACTAGATCGACTCTTCTAGTGATGCTGATCAAGAATATATATACTTTATAGAGTCGGAGATGCCTCCTCCACTGCGTTGCCAACTTCTGACTGAAATTATAATACCCTCTGCAAGGGTTAAAAAATATAAATAAGTTATAAGTTATTATTGAGCCTTCTGCATTGGTCAAATTTAAATTAAAGAAATTGTACACTATATTCGAGATACGGAAAATCCAAAAAATTCATGTAATTCCAGCTCTTCTTTTGGATGCTTTATAAATATAAAGAATCAGTTATAAATGATCAAAATAATAAAAACAGTTTTAAGGTATCTTTTATAAATTATACAATTTTTTTAAGGATGAGAACAAATGTTAACATTTCGGATTTACGGTGAATAATTTTTAATAGCATGGAAGAGCAAGACAGCGCATATTTTTTTCGTCAGCTATTGAAATGTCCGTCCCTAAAAGGAATAAAAAAATTTTTTCACATAAACATTTTTTACATAGACAAGTTATCAAAAACTATGTGTTATAGAAATTTATAACTAACTACGAAAAATAGAAGGTCAATAAATCCAATACAATATCTAAAAGAGAATTACTCGCCCAAAAACATGTAGCATGTTGCAAATGTATATATATAGCGTACATCTTCGAATCAGCAACCTAAAATTTTAGTTGTTTTATTCGAGTCTATATAGTAAAGCAGATCACTTTCAAAAAGACAATGCACTAATTTTTCAAGAACTCAAGAACTAGAAGTGTATGAAAACTCCATAATTGCAAGGCTTTTGAGAGAAGTTCTTGACGTTTAGCTGCTATATCCACCGATAGCTGATGATTTTAAAGTGACCTGCTAACGAGGTCTGAGTTCGGTTCCCTATCCAGTGAGTGTTAGTGGTATAAAAGCTATCGAAAAACTTTGTGATACAGATACCTTAGAGAACAGAGAATGTCATTGCCAATTTGCGGAATTCAATTCCGCATCAAATGATCTAGTAAACTTTAATTACGGTGTTTGGAAAAAATATTGAAAATGAACAGAAACTCAAGCCGTGCTTTTTTTTTTGCACTAAATTAAGTCGTTCATTTCTACATGACAAAAATTAAAAACACTATAGTCAAGTTCTTCGAATATTAGATACCCATTATTCAGCCAACAAATTTCAAAGTAAATATACCCTCAAAAAACAGGGGCGGCAAAGAGGCAGGAGCTCGATTTTGCAAATTGTGGTGCCTACCGATAAATATGACTAGGCCACACACAGAGTATAACAACAAAGGCTTAACATGTCTTAGAGTGACGTGACAGGCGTGTTTAGAGTTTCGCGATTTGTGGGCTGTAGTAGGCTGCGTAGGATACGAGTATCTGCATTTCAAATCCCAAATCTCTAGCTTTTATATTTTCCGAGATCTCGATGTTCATTCAGACGGACAGAAGGACAGCGAAATAAGAGAAACTGCAATTGTTTTGTTTATTTCTTTTTTTAGTTTTCTAGTTGTTTTGAATGGATTTATATAACCGTAATTCCAAAATGGTAAACTATCACTAAATATTGAAAAACTGAACAAAAAAATTAAAAAACAGCAAATAATAATTTTTTTCATTTTTCCCGATTGTTCCTTTGGCAGTTTTGTGATCCGTATTCCGATCTGACTCATTTCGACGTATACTACCGGCAATAAGCAAAAAATTTTTTGCAAAGTTTCATGAAGATAGCTTTAAAAGTGAAAGATTAGCTTGCGTAGAAACGGACGGACGGACATACTGACTGACGGACAGACGGACATGTCTAGGTAGCCTCTCCTAGTGATGCTGTTCAAGAATATATATGCTTTATAGGGTCGGAAGTATTGCTCAACTGTGTTGCTAGCTTCTTGCACTTCGGCAAGCCTAAGCTTTTGCATTTATTACAAACAACTACATTGTGATTTCTATGCCTATAAAAACAAACTACGGCTGCTATATGATATTGTTCATCGATTTAAAACTAAGCTCGTAATACTGAAAAAGTAAACAATAACTACACCTAAAAATATGTTCAAATGAATTTAAAAAGAGTGAAGTTATATTTTTTAAAATTTTTTTTTAAATATTTTTTGTGCTGTTAGATAGAGATAGATATATAGATAGATATAGTTAGATATATATAAACCATTAATATATCTTAAACAACTAAAAAAAATAATTTTGAACTACAAAGTTATTTTTAAGTTTCAAAATCTGAAATCTGAAATTTATTTAGTGTGAGGTGCTATTGTGGAGGAGACATTTTCGACCCTTTAAAGTATATGTATTCTTGATCAGCGTCACTAGGAGAGTCGATCTGTCTGTCTGACCGTCTGTCAGTCCGTCCGTTTCTCTCAGTTTTTATCAGCATAAAACTCTCCTAAAAGTTTCCGAGCTGGATCGGACGACTATATCACATGGCTCCCATAGAAACAATCGAGAACAAAATAAACAATTAATTTTAACTTTTCTGTTTTTTTATTTTTCTTCATAGTTTTTCGAGATAAAGTAATTGTTTATTGTTTCTGAGTTATGGGTTGAGTTTGAATAAAATCAGACGTCTATATAATAAAGCTCCCATGGGAACATTGAAAATATAAAAAAAATGAAAAAAAGGTTAGCTTATCTAATTTGTAATTTCTTGTTTTAGTTTCTTTTGGATATAGTTATTGTTTAATAAGTTAGAATTAAGCTTTTAATTTTATTCAAATCGCAGAACGATATCATATAGGTGCCATAGGAAGGATCGAAAAGCTTAGCTAAAAATCATTATAGCTTCAATGTTATTAACAATCGGACGACTATATCATTAAGCTTCCATGGAAAAAATTTGAATATAAAAAAAAAATTTAACTAATTTTAAATTTTTCTTTTGGACAAATAAATGGTTTACAAATAATAAATTACGCTTTTAATTTTATTTAAGTCGGAAATCGATATCATATATAAAAATCATACTCATATAATTCAAAACTTACATGTTTTAAAAATGTTTCATCTTTGTTATAGCTGCAAGGGAATATAAGCTTCGGCTTGTCGAAGTTCGCTTTCTTACTTGTTGCTATTAACTTCCAAAATAATAGTTCCGGTTATTTTTTGTGAGAGTCGATAAAAATTGATCCAATAAACATATACATCTTAGTAACTGGCTTGTACTATGTCTCTGAGTAACATGAAAGGCTTTCGCCACTTGTTTTCGTTGGAGTGGTCGTGAACATTAAAAAACAAAAAAAAAAACGCTATAGTCGAGTTCCACGACTATTAGATACCCAAACCCTAACAAATTTCAAAATAAATGTTCCCTCAGAAAACAATCGGGTTATTGCTGGCGCCATCTGGGGAACTGCATTAACAACACTACAAGCAATAAGCGAGCAGCACCCACCCCCTTATCTTATGCAGAGGAGCGGCAGAGACGAATAGTTTTAAACCACAAACACATTGACAAGTTTCCCCTTTGAAATTACTCACTTAAATCCGCTGCTCTTAGATATGCAGTGACGTCATATCAAAATAATTGCAATAACTTTTTCAAAAATTTTATTTTTTTCCGATAGAAATGACCGAAACACACATACCAAGTCCAATCACTACGGCTTGACATGTCTCAGAGTGACAGTAAATTCTTTCACGATTTGGGGGCGCTAGAGTAGGCGTGGCTCCGTTTTGAAATAAAATTGCGCTGCCTAGGAACTACTAACTAATGCATGCCAAATATCAAATCGCAAGCTTTTATAGTTTACGAGATCTCGACGTTCATACAGACGGACAGACAGACGGACGGACAGACGGACCTAGCTAGATCGACCCGGCTATTGATCCTTATCAAAAATATATATACTCTATATGGTCGGAAACGCACGCTTCTGCCTGTAACATACTTTTCAACGAATACAATATACTTACATAGGTATTTACTCGACGAGTAACGGGTACAAAAGGATTTGTAAGGTGTCAAGAATTTATTTTTTATACTGTCCGTATGGTCAGTATGACAGAAAATGGCAGCTATAGGATATAGTCATCCAGTTTTGATCAACCGATAGGTTCTAAATATCTGACATCAAATAGGACAAAACCAAAGATTTATACTCAAACAGAAAAAATTGAAATTTAACAATTTGAACAATAAAACATACGGTTTCGAAAGTTTCAAACAGGCAATGCCATATCAATTTTTCTAGTTATGGACAATCTTTTATTTTTATATTGTTGACTAGTTAAACTATTGACATGTTAATGTAAAGACCACCTTCATTCACCCTGCGTTTATTGCTCTGTTTTTCTCATCATCGATTGGGGCGGAAATTTAGTCGTTTTTATGCAGTTGTAGCCGCTTACATTTTTATTGTTAGTGTTCGGTAAACTCTTGACATTTTCGATTGCCGATGAACCACACATACAACACAAATTTAATTTTTTAGACGCTTGGTGGTAATTAAACGTTATACATCTTATTTAAATTGCTATAGAAAATCGAATATAATGTATATTAATGTTTGTTACATTTTTTTCATGATTTTTCATATATGTCCCAACGGTATAAAAAGTTGAACTTAAATAAAACTTCTCAAAATGGTAAGTAACGATAATTTAGACTTGTTATTCAAAATCTCTTATGCTTTTCACTTTAGAGTTGCATAATTCAATGAAAAAAAAAACTTGTGTGTTGGATTTAACCAAAGTCAAATACTTTTAAAATGGCCTATCACGTTTTTAACAAAAAAATAAAGTTTAAAATTATTGGCTTTGCGGATTCATGAACATAATACAATTTTAAAATTCATATTTGCAGGGTGATGGAGAATATGACAAGGAACAATTGAGAAGTAGGTAAAAATTCGGCATTCATTACATTCTTATTAACTTTCACTGAAAAACTTTTTAGTTCTTCGGAATGCTTTTAAAGCCTTTGACCACGATGGATCAGGATCGATCGATCATGCAGATGTTTCTAGCATTCTTGAAATTTTAGGTCAAAAATTAGAGCCGCCAGCGGTTAAAGCACTCATTAAAGAAGTAGATAAGGGTGCAACAGGTAAATTGGATTTTAGCCAATTCTGCAAACTGGCCGCTCGCTTTATTGAAGTTGAGGAAGATGTAGGAGCATTGCAAAATGAGTTAAAAGAAGCTTTTCGTGTATACGACAAAGAAGGAAAAGGATATCTAACCGTTGCAACACTGAGAGGCATTCTTCACGAATTAGATGATAAATTGTCTAACCAAGACTTAGACATGATAATAGAAGAAATTGATGCGGATGGCTCGGGTACAGTTGACTTTGACGGTAAATAGTAAAATAGTTAAAGAATTAGAACCAAAATAATTTTTGTTTTTTTTTACAGAATTTATGCAAGTCATGACAGGTAATATACATTAATATTAACAAATGACAATGAAAAACTGAGCAGTAAATTTTTTTAAAATAGCTTTATTAAATCAAATCTACTACATTTAATTTAAAAACCACAATTTAATTTAACATTTTTTCGAAAGTGTCTTTTTTTTAATATTTATAAAACTCAAAATGTATTTTTTAGTATTAAACACAATGAGGCTATGTTGGATTTCCTATTTTTATGCGTTTGAAGGGAGTATTATAAAATATATAAGAAGTATGTAAAGAATACATTTCCGACCCTATTTATCATATATGTTCCGGATCAGCATAACTAGACGAGTTGATATTGCCATGTCCGTCTGTTTCCTTACCGTTTGCGTGTTCAGGTTTAAAGAAAGAGACTTGCAGCTTTCACAATCGTATTGTTTTTATGAATAAGCAAGTTTGAAAGATCCGAAAATAACAAAACTAGAATCAAAGCTAACTAATAAGCCGAAGTTTTATACCCACCCATGCTGTCTTGGGATGGATTCAATATTATATCAAACCATTTTATCAGGCAAAAAAGAAATATATACGCATACAATTCTACGAAAGCAACCAAATTTAAAATTTACACAATAATTCCTCTGTAGATATATAGAGATACAGATATAGGATATTCAATTTTTTTTTTATTTAACGCTTATCAAAAATATATATACTTTATAGGCACTGAAATTATAATACCCTCTGCAAGGTTATAATAAAACATATTCTACAAAATGTTTATGTATATGCTTACAAACAATACCGACGCAAGCATTGCCGACAAGGCAAGCCGACGCCCTTGCAGCTATTGCAAGACTTAAATACTTTTGAAAACATTAAAATTATGATTTACTTGCGTATATTTTGAAAAACACTGAAGCTATGATGATTTGCAGCTCAATTATTAGATAGTTATTTTATATATTTTTATTATTTCTATGGGATCTATATGATATTGTCGTCCGATTTTGATGAAATTTAAACAGTAATTCTTAAATATTTAACCATTACTATATGTCGAAGAACTAAAAAAAAAAATAAAAAAACAGCAAACATATAATTTTTTTTGTATTTATTTTCCGATTCTTTCTATGGGAGCTACATATATGATATAGTAGTCCGATTTGGATGAAATTTAGAACGTAACCTAAAATATTTAACCATTACTATATGTCGAAGAACTAAAAAAAAAAATTTAAAAACAGCTAAGCTATAATTTTTTTGTATTTATTTTTTCGATCCGGCTCGTTCCGACTTATATACTACCTGCAATAGAAAGACAACTTTTGGGAAAGTTTCATTCAGATAGCTTTAAGACTGAGAGACTAGTTTGTGTAGAAAGGGACGGACAGACGAACAGACGGACAGACGGACAGACGGACATGGCTAGATCGACTCGCCTAGTGATGCTGATTAAGAATATATCTACTTTATAGGGTCGGAAATGTCTCCTTCACTGCGTTGCAAACTTCTGACTGAAATTATAATATCCTCTGCAAGGGTATAAAATTTATATGTCTGCGGTTTTTAAATTTTTTTTAGTTCTTCGACATATAGTAATGGTTAAATATTTTAGAACTACGGCTTAAATTTCATCAAAATCGGACGACTATAACATAAAGCTCCAGTGGGAACAATAAAAATATATACTTCGGCAAGTCAAAGTTTATATACCCTTGCAGGTACTGCAAAAATTAAATATTCTTGAAAAAATTATAACTATGATGATTTGCAGCTCAATTTTTGATAGTTCCTATGGCAGCTACATGATATCGTTTTCCGATTTTAATAAAATAAAAAGCGTAATTCTCATATTATTAATAGGTCAAAATATTTTCTAAAAACATTACAAAATATAAAAGTTAAATTTTATTAATTTTTTTTTTTTTTAATTTTTATTGCTCCTATGGGAACCTTAATTTTGAAATATTTAACCATTACTATTGTCTAAGAACTAAAAACTAGGAGAGTCGATCAAATATTTTTTTTCCGATTGTTCTAATGGGAGCAATATGCTGTAGTTGTCCGACCCGGCTCGTTCCAACTTATATACTACCTGCAATAGAAAGACAACTTTTGGGAAAGTTTCATGCAGATAGCTTTATAACTGAGAGACTAGTTTGCGCGGACGGACAGACGGACATGGCTAGATCGACTCTCCTAGTGATGCTGATCAAGAATATATAAACTTTATAGGGTCAGAAATTTCTCCTTCACTGCGTTGCAAACTTCTAACTGAAATTATAATAACCTCTGCAAGGGTATAAAAACATGTATAAAATAATATATATTAGAGTGGGCCGAAAAAGACATTTTTTTAATCAAATGGCAAAAGTGCGGGAAAGTTTGGTTTGCGTTTTAAATTTGAGATTTATTAATTAATTCCTTCTGTTCCTAGCAGGGCACCAAATCTTTGCATTTCTCGAATTTAATGTTTAATTGTTAATGCATTTTTCATCATTTTTTATAAACAGCTTTTCGACCACTTTTTAATGCCTTAAAATGGTCCAGAACTCACCACGTGGAAGTACATAGTTGCTATTCGAGTTCCATTTTATTTTTTTACTTTTTTTTTAGCTTTTTGATATTGATTGTTTTTTACGTATCTTATTTGTTCGTTATCAAATATTCTTTATTTGTTAAAAAGTGTTTTTGTTGCTTTTACCCATTAATTTAACGTACTTATTGTGCACAACGTGTTGTGTTGGGAACTTTTCCATCGTCTTTGGCAACTTTGGTCCCGAACACTACTTGTGAAAAGTTTGCAACATTGGTGCCAAGCAGCTGATTCACGCACAAAATTTAAAATAGAAAATGTAGGACCCGGTTGCCAGGAAACGAAGGACTGCAGTAAGCTGGGTAACATGGGCAATCAAGGGTTGTCCTAAGTCGAGTCCAATTTTCCCAATAAGGAAAATAAATAGATCTTTGTCAATCCGGTAAGATTGAAAAAATCTGCAAAACTTTCAAATATTAAAGTAATTTTGAAATAATGGCTACTTACTGGCGATCTGGCAAACTAAAAATGTTAGCATTGCATCTTAAATTTCGGTTATTGTGTTTAATGTCTAACATTTGTTGTCTTCTTAACTTGTTTTTGGTCAAAAGTTGTACAAACATTGTTCAAATCAAAGCAACAATCTTTGAATTATTTCGGGCAACACAGCTGATTTCCAAACGAGTTGTTCGACCATTTTGTTGGTCAGTTTCCATTACTGCCTTTAAAATAAGTAGAATTTGATATTTTTGGCTAATAATGATTTTTTGACTGATTTTAGACATTAAATGTGAGCACCAATAATGCACAAAGATTAGGAAAAGCAGCGTGCCAAATGTTGATCAAAGGTCGACCTGGAAAACTTAGGAAAATTGTAATTTCCCTAATTTCCCTCTGATTATGTTAAAGTAAAATCCGCCAATTTCAACGAATTCACTTCCAAGTGAAAACTGGAACAGGCCTGATTGACTCATATCTTAGGAAACATTTTAAATATTTCAATTGGTTAAAAACATTTCCACTTTGGTTTACGGTTACCTAAAAAATTGCGTTTTTTTGGCGAGTTTTTCAATTGTAAGGTTAAGGACAATATTTGTTTCAATTAGAGCACGGTTGTGATGTTTCATCGTATTAGGATGGGATGTTAATTTTCTTTTTTATAATTTTCACACTTCGTGGAGATAGGCGCCAAGAAGTTTAGTCTAAAAGAAAAAAAGTAAGGTTATCAAATTTTGCAGTGAAAGGCTTTAATGCTAGCTTACGCCCTCGATGTAGTTGTAGATATCGATCTTTTCATTTTGAGAGTGGGCTCCGTCGTCACATGCTCCCACTGGCACAAGGTGATGGTCTCAATCTGTAGAAAAAACACAGAATTAATTGCACGTTCATCTTCTTCATAAATATTTTACTTAACGCCACCAGCTCCTCCTCACTTTCGATCGGGAAGGATTCAGGTACCACTGCATCCTTGGAAAATCTGCCTCACGGCCGTCACCTTATACTAATTGTCAAATATATTTATTTATTGTTTATTTATTTATATTTATGCACTTACCTGATTAATTAACAATTGCCTAAAAGTTTCACTTTTAAAAACACTTCCTAACTCTGTTGCACTCGAATTGAAGTGCAAAGGGAATGGGGAGAACGAAAAACGAAACCGAAATTTCTACCTGACGCGTGCCAGGGTATATCCGACCATAACAATGCCTTGTAGTTAAAATCACATAAGGCAGATAATCAAATATTAACATTTTGGCGTCTATTGCAACTTTACAATAACTTCCAAAATGTTATTACATTTAATCAATAAAAATCATTTATATATCATCTTAAAAATTAATAAATATACTAGCGCTTCTAAAAAAGGGTATTCAAAAGTCTACACAGTTCCTTTTCTTCTTGACATTTTGATTTTTTTCTCCGTTTCGTCTCCGTCCAACCCTCTCTCTTTATCAGCCGCTGCTCCGAATTACTTCGAAATAAACATCAAAAAAGTTTGAACTACGGCAGTGGCCTGCTTAGTTTTGAACTTTGCTAGATGAAGCCCATGTGATTTGTTTTTGTTTTTCGAACATGTCGGCCAGGAAAAAGCAGGGAAGGGAATTTCAGAACTACAAGGAACCTTCTGGAGTTTTGCAAATCCGCCGCCCCTTTTCCAGTTTCCGAACGAATTTGATAGAAACAAAGCAAGGGTTGTCATGGTACGAAAAAAAAAAATAATTTTTTTCTTCGAACTTATTTTTAGCAAGAGCTTTTCGGTTTTTTTATATGGTTAGTTTAAAAGTGTTTTTGTTCTTATTACCCCAACACTATTGCCAAGCAGCTGATTTACACACAAAATTAAAAATACAAAATGTAAAAACGAATATTTTCTCTATTTAATATTAATTTTATTAGGAGGAAACATAGGAACAACAAACAAGACGTCATATACATATGAAGTTTATGGAGGAGAAAGTTGCTCGGGGGTTTGTGAAAGGTGACAGATCTGGCAAATGAAATATAGCATTGCATCTTAAATTTCGGTTATTGCGTTAAATGTTGTTGTCTTCCCAACTCGTTATTTACCAAAAGTTTCAAAAACATTGTTAAAATTAAACCAACAATCTTTGAATTATTTTTGGCAACAAAGTTGATTTTAACACGAGTTGTTCTATACTTTTGTTGGTCAGTTTCCATCACTGACTTTAAAATTAGTAGATTTTGTTATTTTTGGCTACCAATGATTTTTTGACTGATTTTATATATTAAATGTGAGCACCAATAATCCACAAAGATAAGGAAGAGCAGCGGGCCAAATGTTGATCAGAGATTTGTTTGGAAAACTTAGGCAAATCATAAGCTTTTGCTAAGGGCAGTAGCGGCAATCAGCTTTTTTATTTCCCCTCAAATAGTAATTACCTTAGGAAATTTTTTAGCAAGCAAGGGAACTTATATTATATGAAAGTGAAATCCGCCAATGTTACCGAATTCACTTCCGAGTGAAAACTGGAGCATGCCTGCTATTTTCAGTCGAAAGTTTGCAACGCAGTGAAGGAGACATTTTCGAAAGTATTATATTTATATTCTTGATCAGCATCACTAGGAGATTCGATCTGGCCATGTCCGCATGTCCGTTTGTCCGTCGCAAGCTAGTCTCTCAGTTTTTAAGCTATCTGCATGAAAATTTTCCAAAAGTTGTTTTCCTATTGCAGGTAGTATATAAGTCGCAACGAGCCGGATCGGACGACTCTAACACATAGCTCCCAAAGGAACGATAGGGAAAAAATGAAAAAATATTTGAACTTAGCTGTTTTTTATTTTTAGTTTTTGTTTTTATTTATGTACAGTAATGGTTTATTATTTTAGAAATGACAAAAATAAATAATCATTAGTTCAGATTTATTTTTATTTTATCGGAAAACGATATCATATAGCTACCATAGAAAGGATCGAATAACTGTGGTGAAAGTCATCATAGCTTCAATGTTTTTAAGGTTATACGCTTATAATTCGAAATGTAGATGTTTTAGAATATTTATTTATTTCGACTTGCCGAAGTTTGCTTTTTTTCTTGATTCGCTGGGCTTTTCCTTAGACTTTGTTTTTATATTTTTTATAACATATCCCTAGATATTTGATTAAAACCGGTTGACTATTGCTATAACTGTAACTGCCATATGTCTGACTTACTGACCATACGGTTCTAAGATAGATTCTTGAAACTTTTCAAATTATGTTTTTCTGTGGTGTTCGACATATTGAAGAACATGTTGCGCTTGCTCCTTGTCTCGTTTCTTGCCATCTTTATCGCTTAAGAGGGTATTCTTGTCTAGAAATTTTAAGAAAATCGATTTTTTTGCATATTTTGAAAGTTTAGACTTTCAAATATATGATCCTAAGGCGATTTTTCAAAATTCGAATTATTTTCGGAGACACAGCCAACTTTGTGACGTGGAGTCCGAGCCATTAGAATAGTTTTCTAATCTTTATACGCGTTTTTTTCTAAACTATTTTTATTTTGAGGGGTTTGACAAGTTCCACTGAACCTATTTCTTTAAATTTTGGTATATATTTTGTTTATAGTACTCTCTATTGTGTTTGCCTTTTTAAAATATTCGAAAAAGTCGATAAAATTGGTTGAAAAACATTTATTGTTTTCAAGTCGACTGTTACTGAATACTTTTGTATTAATAGACAAAACGCGAAACTTGTGTGAATGCAGTAACATTGCGTCGACGAAAGGGAGGGGTATCGATAGAGTTCCATCGATCACTTAATTTAATATTCCAACAATTTCTCTTAGAACCTATCTTACTACAAAATGTAGTTCGGTTCAATTGTTCTTTCTTTCGAGGGAGTTCCACCAAACAACAATCCCATACAGAAGAATTGTTCTGACTATTGCTATATAAAGCCAGTGTACGAACAAAGCTATGGCCTCATTCCGTGTGCGGTCTGCTATGTTTTCTGTCCAGAACAGTCTCCTGTCCTGTACTAAGCCAAGGTATTTAGCTTTTTCGCTATAGGTTAGGCGAGAATGGTTTAGATTGGGAGGCTTAGTTCTGGAACCATGATTTTTCTGGTGAAAAGTACCAGGTCTTTTATTATTTGGGTTAACCCCTAGTCCACACCCCTGCGCTCACCCGGAGAGTTTTGACAAGGCTTTTTCCATGAGGAAACTGATTGTTTCTGGGTATTCACCTTGGATTAGTATTATTACGTCGTCCGCATATGCTATCACCTTGAGTCCCCCTCATTCTATGAGTAGAAGTAGTTGGTTAACCACTATGACCCATAGTTGGGGGGAGCGGACTCCTTCTTGAGGAGTACCTGTGCTAACTGGTCTAGTAGCCTGGGCCAGTTGAGGTCACTACTCTGTTATGATGGTTCGTTAGTACTCGTGTGATGGCTTCTGGAGTGACGTTATTGAAGGCTCCTTCTATGTCAACAAAAACCGCCAAGGAGTATTCTTTGTGGTGGAAACTGTTTTTTATCTGGGATACTAGTGTGTGTAGTGCAGATTTGGGCGATTTGCCTTTCCGGTTTGCGTGCTGAGCGGTGGAGAAGAGTTTAGGCTTACTGTTGTTCTGAAGCGGGGGTCTATTAGTCTTTCTAGGGTCTTTAGTAAAAACGAAGACAGACTTATCGGTTTAAAGTCATTCGGAGATGTATGTTACGGTTTGGCAGCCTTGGGGTTGTAGATGACTTTTACTTCTAGCCACCTTTTAGATATATATTGAAGTAGTAAGCAATTATGGAAGATTGCCTTAAACCATGGTAGGATGATGTGGAGGGTCTTTTGCAATTGTGCTGGGAATAGACCATCTGGTCCTAGTGATTTGAATGGCTTAAAAGTGTTTATAGACCATTTGATGAGCTCTGTACTAGATATTTCTGAGATAGCGTATTCGTCGAAGGGGTCTGATCTATTAAGGGTCGAGGCCTCCCTAGGGTTGGAGGGAAAGTTAGTATCTAGGAGCAGCTCTAGTGTTTCTTGGCTGGTCTCTGTCCATCTGTCTGACGAGTTTTTGAGTTATCCTATGGTGGCTGCGGACTTGGAAAGAATCTTTCTAGGTCAAGCCGTTTCGGAGGTGGACTCTATGCTGCTGCAAAAACGGACCCACTCTTTGACTGTTTATAATTTTTTCTTTTTGTACACGCTTAATTTCGTATAGTATTCACTTAAGCTGTTGTCAGTGATCTTATAATTGGCCATGTTGAATTTTTTGTCTACAATCCTTTTTTAGGTGTGTGGTGGACCACCATGGAAATTTATTGTTCAATGTAATTTTCCTACTAGAACATGCTCTTTTTAAAGCCAGTGTCTGTGAAGTGTTAACTATTTTGTCAAGTTTATCCGGGTGTACGGATTAAAAAGTGTGAGGGTCTCTAGGTTATTGTCTAGGAGTTTGGTTTAGTACCTCCAATTGGTTTTTTTAAATTGGTAATTTATTCAGGGTGAAAGCATAGAGCATTTATGGTAAACTCGATATAAGTATGGTCAGAGAAATAATGGTCATCCCCGACCAGTCAGTGTCTAATTCGGTCAATCAGGGACTCAGAAGATGGAGAGATGTCCAAAACTTCCCTTCTGGTGATAAAGGTGGGGTCATTTCCTCTGTTTCAGATAACTAGGTTGATCTGTAAAATGTAATCAACGTAAACTCACCTCTTTCGTTGGCATCTGTACTTCCACATTGTGTGTTGTGTGCATTTGTATCGCCTCCTAGGATCAGTTCCTTGGAGGAGGTGGCGTGTACAAGTTATTGGAAAATTAAACTAGGTAATGGCCCTCTGTGGTCATGAGCTAGGTAGAAAGATGATATGAAGGGGTGAGTATTTTTACTCAGCTCGATTTTGACCGTTGTGAGGTCGCCGTCTCTGAACTGAGAAAGAAGATAAGTATTAAGGTTAATCTGATAAAAATGCAAGTTCTGGGTTTGTCCCTTCCGCTTTAGGCCACTGATTTTATTGCCCTCAATCCAGGCTTCTTGTATAAGGATTGCGTCTATTGTGCCTGTTTCCAGGCGCTTTAGAAGGGCAGATGTGGCTGCCTTACTATGGGGAAGAAAAATTTTTTAAGCACTTCTCTATCCAGACTCTGGATGCCGCTGGTTAGCCACCACCTCCTCGGCA